ACACATACCATGATCTGTACTTCAATCAACTAGATGACTACATTTATCATCCTCTTGGATGTCAAGACAATGTTTTGCTCTGTGTTTCTCAATGCTTACTTTCAGTTTACTTGTCTTGGAGATGGTAACAAAGAATTCTCAGACTGCAGTTGTTCCAGGAGACTATACTCTAAGCAGCATCTCTGCTAATCCTCAGTAGATTATGTGGCTGGTGCACTGGGTAGCTATAGTTCTGTCTCCATCTGCAAAGAATAATCAAAATAACTCATCCTCTAATTAGAGGATGAGTTATTTTGATTATTCTCTATAGGAATGGTCATCTTGGCTTGTGTGGCTTTTCCCATGAGCCTTAGTCAGAACTACCTGGTCTGGGTGACCTTGTTTTCACCTGTTTTCTGCCCTCTTCCCATCAGGCTCAGCAAGGAGCTGCAGGAGAAGGAGAAAGTGATTGAAGTCCTTCAGGCCAAGCTGGATGCCCAGTCCCCCACACCCCCCAGCAGCCATGCCTTGTCTGACTCCCACTGCTCTCACAGCAGCACCTCCTTCCTGTCTGATGAGCTGGAAGCCTGCTCTGACATGGACATAACCAGCGAGTACACACACTATGAAGAGAAGAAAGCTTCACCTGGTCACTCAGGTAGCCTCCACTTTCTGAGTGGTACCGTCTTTATCTAGATGGAGAGAAGACCTTGTGAACAAGGCCTTATAGCTCTACCTTGGTGTGTATCAAGCTAGGACCAAGTGCTAAGCACAGGTCCAATGGGTCAGGATATTTGCTCTGCTCCTGACTCTACAAGTTACTTCCGTCACTCTGGCCTTCACCAGCATGTACGTACTGTTGGACCCAAGGTGATCCATAGTAGGGAGAATGAGAAGATCATGGCAGACTTTTCTTCCCCACTGAATCTTTCTGATAGATCTCCTTCTATCAGATGGAACATCACATCTTGCCTGCAATTATCTTGCTACTTACAGTTCCAGAGTTGTGTCCCCTGAGTATCAGTGGGTGTCCTCAGATGTTACCAGTCTTGCCTAATATTTTGGGGGTGCCATTTTCATGGTTTCAGGGCTCTGGGCCCCACTATCACCCCTAAGGTGGTTTGCTTCACTAAAGAAGCTGTATGCAAGCAAGAAAATGAACATTGGTAACAGTACTTATTCATGGTGCTTTCCCTAAAAGCAAGACTCTAGCTGTGGTACCTCTGGTTAAGTATAAGGCCAGGATTCCAGTTCTCTGTAGAACGCCAAATATTTTCTTTCATTCATGGGTTTTATAGATTCCATCCATCATTCGAGTCATTCTGCTGTATTGTCTTCTAAACCATCAGCAACCAGTGCATCTCAGGGGGTTAAAGCCGAATCCAACAGCAACCCTAGCAGCTTGCCAGCCCCCCAGAGTCCCC